AAATTGGACATTTTGTAGAGGAAGACCTAATTTATCGAATGTGACATGAAAATTTTCCAGAATTTATACAGGGTGGTCAAAAAAAAATATCGAATATGAAGTTCAGAAAATGTGGAAAACCCGACATTTTTAAATGGAAACCCCTATTTTTTTAACGTATCGCATTGTGCACTAAAATTAAGTGTAACGTTTCTCTATACCTAAACTCAGTCTTTTCATTTTATTTACGAATAAATATTTCTCATAAAAATAAACCTATGTTTCCGGGAAAACTAAATTTTGCTGACAGTCTGCATCTGTCAATGTTTGTTTAAAAATCAAAACCGTATGGAGTGTGCTATATGTTTTCAACTTAAAAGTAGATGCTATTTCCAAGAATTTTGAACAGTTGTAATATCAGTTATATGAGATTATTTTATTAATTAAAACTACAAATTAATTTCATTAATAATAACAATAACGGCAAAAGCAGTTGAATTTGCTAATATAAATTAGGTGTTAAAATTTTTTTATTTATTTCTTTCCTTGAGAAAGAATTTCTTTCAATTTTTTGTCCGTTCATTTTGTATTACACTTTGCTGCCCTGCCAGTCGCTGACTGCATGCTTTGCCTTGCGGAAGGTCAGATTTACAGTGGATCAGTTTCCAGTGCATTGCAGAAATGTATTTTTAAATCATTTTCGAACTGGCCTTTTCAATTTTTTTTACAAAATTGTATTTGTAAAAGTCCCTTGTACAATAAAAAAATATTATTATTATTTTTTTGATAAGTTCTGAATCAGCCTGTATAGTTGTTGTTGAAAGAATTTGTGTTGCGGACTTAATAAAAGAAAAATGATTCCACAGTATTAGAAAATAAAACTATATTCAAATTTAGGAAGACAGCCATTACTTCGTATGTATTTAATATAAAAACAGAGTAACAACGAACTATTTTCTATCAAAAATAAACATACAAACATAAGAAATCTAAATCGTAACGATAAACCTGCAAATATTTCAATTTATCCCCCCATCTTTAGTTACACTCAAAGTCGTATTAGCGAAATCAGTGTCATTTACCAATGGACGATTATAATGCTCCGTAAAAGTTTTCTCTGACCATCCCATAGTTCTGCAAATTGTTTCCAAGGGTATGCCCAGTCTCAACATAGTAGATATCGCAGAATGACGAGTAGAGTTATGTCTGAATTGTGATGTGTCAGTGCTAGCCAAAAAGAGTTGTTATTTGACCCATTTGCTTAATGTTTGTTTGTTAGCGATCGTAGTCTTGTGATAGAAATAGCAGATCCTGGGTCGGTGTTACTTCAAGGTATTTCTTTAAGATTGTTGCAACACAAACTCTAGGTTTTTCTCTTCTCTACTATGTCTCTTCTATCTTACTTTACTTTTGATTGAATCGCTAATACTAACTTGAATATCTAGCGAACTATACTTTATATAGTATAACCTAATTAGAGATGTGGTCCGTAATTAGTGCTAAAAATGGCACTAGCTTCAGAGAAAATTAACGGAGGTCTAAAGTTGGAGGTAACGCCTCAAAATATGAAAACAATACATAGGGATCCCAAGCATTTGTATACCTCGGCTGAGGTGGCTTTATAGAAGACATACTCTATAAAAATCTCTTAATATTGGGATCTGCTAGTGAGAATTTATTGCTCCGTACCTGTAATTATGCTCCTGTAAGGTCCGTACGGTTTGCTTGAATATAGGGATCTTCCCTTGTATACAAAATTTTCACCAAAAGCGGTAGGTTGTGTTGTATTAATTGATAGAATCCGTAATGAATGACATCATTGTATAATAGCTTGATTGGCTAGAGGATGTCTGGGAGAGGATAACAAATCAGGAATAAAAAATAATTCCTCTTCGACTTTTAGCTTGAAAAAATGTTGATACCAGGGTTGTGAGACCCCAGAGCGGACTAGTAAAATGCTTTCAACTTTGTCTTGGTAAATTTTTTGAATGCGTCTTAAAATTAAAATGAAAGGGTGGAAGGCGTAGAAATGGAAATCATTCAATTTCAAAGTAAACGTATCGTCTGCGAAAGAACCTGGACATCCGCGCCATGATACGTATTTATTGCATTTGTGGTTAATATATGATGCAAAATTATCCACTTCAGGTTTAACCAGCGCATGGCCAAAAGCCTCTTAAGTTCCCACTCTGTTTCAGAATTTGCTTCTCGAGATTCCTTGTCTGCTTTGTAATTCAGGTTTACATAGGATACAAGAAGCTAAATCTTCCTCTGCTCACACCACTGCTATATCTCCTATGTTAGAGCATATAGTTTTGGATACTAAATGTTACCCATTCGGTTAATATAGGATATGGCAGTGGTGTTGTCACGTCTCAAGATAATATTACGTGTGAAAGATTACTAGAAAAACATCTCAACCCACAAAGAATGTCCTGTAATTAAAAAAAACGTGCGGCTTCTGGTCTGAGTTAGACCAATAACCGAGAGTCTTTTTTGACACGCAACAGGCTTCCTAACATTTGTCAACATTTCCATGTTATAGCAGTTATTTCTGATATTAAAAGTTCTTGTTTTGCTACCACCAAGAGAGATTTTTATGTAATAGTGTTAAGGTTTGAGGTAGACAATGAAGCGTCAATATTCATGCCATTTCGACGTAATGCTAAGAGTTTTTCGCGTTCCAATTATTTTGTATAAGCCAGGCAGGCTGACAATAAAACGCCGGTGAACTTTGCAACGTCCCTATTTATTTTTAAAATTAGCGACCATTCTTTTCATATTTTCCTTTTTTCTGTTGGATGATTCTAACAGATTGATTGTTATCTTAGTATTTTCCAAACATTATTTGGATGATTTGCCAAAGATTAAAAAATCGTCCAAATAATTAACACAAGTGAGGAACTATCGGCTTCATTAATTTTAAAAACAAAATGGTGCCACAGAGAGGCCGAATGGAACGCAAGTAAATTCATACAGATGGTCATCATATTCAAACCTTATAGACTTCTATAGTTAGGATGAATTGGAACCGAAAAATATGCATCATTGAAATCTATGGTCGTAATAAACCAACCTCTGGACATTAACCGTATTGCGGTTCTGTGATATTGTACCCTTCAATCCAAGACAAAACTGTAGGATTGGAAGTCATTGTTTTCCATATTCCTGAAGAATCTTAAGCGCCCTGCCAAAAAAATTGTAATGGGTTACATACCATTAGGGCCTCTTGTGTTTCATCGATTTGTGTGCGTTCGAGAGACGCCCCCTTTGTGTCCTTTGGTGGATACTGCACTTCCTGTTTCACATGCTATTTATCATATACTGCTGTTTACCAATATCCCCTTCTTTCTTTCTCTGAAGACCAAGAGGAGCGGTAACTCGAAGCCAAGAATAAGTAGAGTAGAAGAGGTCGTATATCTTTCCCGACTCTTTTCATTGTTTTTGGGACATGAATGTCTCTCCTAAGTTTAGGCCAAATAAAAATTTGCAAGGAGGACCATATTGCTTCCTCGGCTGAATGTGAATTAAAATCAAATTTATTTTGCTTACTGGTCTGGTCCTAAAATATTTCGAGATTCTTCTGAAATCCCTGTATCACCTAAAGTAACTAAAATAGGTGAGTCACCTTTCTTTACATTTACAGGCCTCGTACCTGAGGTCTACTCTGTTGCAGATATTGCACTATTCGGTTAAAATCTGCTGTGGTGTTTGACAGGGCTTACACTTGCTCTACTAAAGTGAAACGCAATACTCAGACTACAGCTGTCATGTTCACATTGTTGAAACTTTCGTAATCTCTTCTTAAAGTAGCCTCACACGGAGATCTACCTTTAGGATAACGAGATCTGGATTTTTCCAAACATCTCTACGTGAGCTAGTCTCACCTGGATAACGATTTTCATGGTGATGAGATCTAGGGCAATGTCTAGAAATCGATCTACTCATAGAACGATCTTCTCGGTGGTGAAATCTGTTCGCGCTCTCTTTCTAATATCTTCAGCCTATTCTTACGAAGATCTTGTTTTTTTTTTTACTTAAGGACCTTCTAATAGGCGAAATACTAGAAGATTTATTTTTCCCTCTCCTATGTTTACCCATTTGCTAAAAATAAAATTATTCATGGACACTCACGGGATATTAATATTTTTGTAATCCAAACATTAGAACCAGATATATTCTACTGAAGCTATTATTATAATCTTGATAATTTTGATATTAAACACATTACTAAATCAATAATTAAAAGACGAAGAACTTTTGTGGAGACTAATATCTAATCAGCTATAAGCAGTAATCCTATTTTGCATTATCATTATTATGCATTCAGTTGCATTATCATTCAGTAAAGCATACCGTAGCAGAATGGATTTTCAGTCAAGAAAGACAAGAAAATATTGAAAACAAATAAAAATTTTACTTATAATAAACAAAGATAATAAAAAAAATACAAAAAACTAAAAAGTAAAAATATAGAATAACAAAAAGCGGAAAAAATTACAAAAGGAGGCAAGGTTAATATCGACGAATCGTCACCACGGTTACTTGAATTTTTTGTACTAAATATTCGAAACGACCGTCTTGAATTGACAAAAACTGAGGTGTCCAATATAGCATTTTCAGACCTTGCAAGTTGAGGTGAAGCTCCAATCTAAGGTCACCATCGATTTGTCATTCAAAATCCTACAAATTTCGCTTAAAAAATTTTCTACTACAATTCGATATTGTCGAGTTATTCAGAGAAAAATGAGTCTGACCTCTAGTTGATCTATGAAGTCATACCAGGAAGATTATTCGTGAAAAAATTCGTATATAAAATATGGCGCTCTATCTGCTGGTATAAAAAACAAGGTTTTTCGTTTAATATTCTCAATCTTAAATCTTAAGGTCAAGGTCAAATCCAGATAACTAGGGTATTGCTTTTTTGATATCCTATAACATGTATCTGAAACTTTTTTTAACAGGACTGAATCCTGAAAAGTTATCAGGGTGTTTGTGTCTTCTTGGAAGACTCTTGACTGTTAGTCACTTACCTTTGAAAGCGGACGTTGATTTCTTATATGTATGCCTCCCACTTCTATCACATTAGGCACCAAGGGTCTAGGTAAGTTTAAACTAAAATGAGTATTCACCAACACAAGGCTAGTATTTGCGATAAACTCTTTCACTTTCGCAGCTTTTTTACCTAAATGTTTGCTAATAAGAGCATTATCTCTACTGAGCATAAAATATTTATAATAATACTGATGATACAATGTAACAACGGTATTTTCCAGTCTTTCCAAGAAGGTCATTCTGTCGGAATAATCCATTAAATTATTGGGAATGTAGGCGGTATGCACTGGGTTTGCTAATCTTTCGGAAGTCCATGACATTAAAGTCGAAGAGCTCAGTCCAATAATAGGAGCTTTGACTCTGTGAGCTAGTCCCAGAAAACAGTCACTGTTGAAGAATTCCGTGATCATTACATCATACCTGTCCTTCGTCTTCATGAAATTTTGCACGGCTTCTGAAGCAAGGCCGTTTTCGCAAGAAGAATTCGCAATGTATGATAAGAGGAGCACATGGTTAATTTTCCAAAATCTAGAAGATTCTGCAATGTTTACATCGAATGCATCCACTAGCACTTCTTTACTTCCCAAATGTATGTCTTTATAGTTAGGTATGGGCTTGATAAGTGGAAAATGACTTATTACCGTCACTTTGTGGCCATTTTCAGCTAAGGCTTTCATTAGCGGTTTAAAAACATCCACATGACTTTTGCCTGGATGAGGAAAAACACCAAGGATGTTGTATGACGTCGACTGAGTTAAGTTAATTAGGAAAAGCAGATAAGAATACAAATTCGTCTTCATGCTGTGCTGAGATCAAATAAGTTCTCGTATCGAACGCGCACGGCATACTAAAAATATATACCAGCCGTGTCGTGTATTAGGATCATTGATTTAAAAATAGATTAGCAACCGAGGAATCAATTCGTGCTACGCTTATGATCTGTCACTATACTTTATTTCTTCCTCGAGATGAAAGATATATTAACATTAAAAATAGATCTTACAATAGAGGGTATTTAAGTATACAAGGTATCTCTAAAGGGTATGGACAAACTTCTACCACATATTCCTGGGGCATATGATGCTCTATTCCAGGTTACATTAGTTCAAAATTTTATAGTCGGCGAAACATAAATTTATTTATTTTTTTGTAGAAAATAATCTAATGTTAGATTCGGTGAGCGTGGTAGTTAATCCATAGGGGTTTCATTTCTTTTACCGATCCACCTATTTGGAAAATGCCGAATAAAATGGTTACGGACGTTTAAAGTAAAATGTGTGGGTGTTCCGTCGTATATAAACTACACGCTGGCGCTGTGGCGAATGCCTAAAAGAATTCAATAAGTCTGTTAAAGTTTCTTGGTGGTATTTCATAAAAATTTTCAGAAATACCAGATTTATTGGACGATTTTCCTTTAGCCATTCGCCACAACATGTGGTTTACGGTAAGATGTCTTACACCCATTCTCACAATCTCGGGTTAACTAGCAGTTAAATCCTTACCAAAGGTTAACTGCATATGAGTTTTTTCACGACATCTAGTTAACAATATTTTGGTTATGTCATTATAAAGATAACCAGAACCTTATGTGTAAGTTAACCAGAAGATTTGTAGGTAGTTAAAGTTAACCTATAAAGAGGTTACTGTCGTATTAAAATATAAATGAAAAATGAATTTTGAATATTATGAGATAAATCCTTACAGTAGTGAGAAGGAGATAGGAGACTACGAATTTTCAAAGGCCAAATTTTTTTGAAGGATATGACTAAAAGACTTTTTCACAAGATTTAGGCTTTCCCACGTACAGTAGAAAATTTATTAAAAAAAATACAAGGTGTTATTAATCACCGTACGGAAAGGTACATCTTCTATATTTCTTTTTTTTTATTTTTGTTGTGTAGAAATAACTATCTCATGCCAGAGAACAGTTACTTCTGGCATTATTTTTTTTTGCCAATGGATCTTTTCTAAGAACCTCTGCAGAGATCTGTGGGGTTAGTAAAACCACAGCAAGTAGGATGGTGACAAGAGTAAGTTTGGCAATAGCAGACTCGCGACCGCAATATATAAAAATACCAGAAGGAGAGGAAATCAACCAAATTTGACAAGCCCATTACAATATTGTTCGATTTCCAAGATATATTGGTGTAATAGACTGTACCCACGTAATCATCATATCTCCGGCGACTTAAAACGCTGAAATTTTCAAAAACAGGAAACAATTATTTTCCTTAAATGTGTAAACATTTAGTGATCCTAATCGCAAAATTCGTAACATTCACAAGATGGCCAGGTTCAAGTCATGATGCCCACATTTTTAGAAATTCCGTATTATGTGCTTCTTTGGAAATGGGCCAGTATGGTCACAGTCTTTTGGTCGGAGATAGTGGTTAGTTTCTCACACAAATAAGCGACTATCACAAAATATGTCATTACAGGTTATTTCTTCCTCTTCTTCTAAATTTTGTCACTTGTCCATTGCAATAAATTCCTAATAACTCTCCAAAAATCAGCTTAACCCCAGGTTGGCTGTCTTGAAGTCGTAATGGCTGTTGTGAAACAGTTGAATAGTTTAACCACAAATTAACTATTGGGTCAAGGTTACCTTACCAAAAAGATAACTAAAGATCGTGAAAGGGGCCGTTAGTGGTATTTCAAATAAATTATCTGAAATACAAGATTTGAACATTTAGAACATATACTTTAAATAAATTGCATTAACTTTCTCCAATTCTGTTTCTTCTCGGCTTCGCAATTTTTTTTGTAATTTTTATTGTTTTTGGCCTGCTACTTTCTACATACCTGTCGTTGTTGACTCATTGGTCATTAAATTTTTTATTATTGGCTCACTGGCCTCTAACAGCTCTCCAAAATTTTAAAACTGATTTGGACTAATCCTAATTCTGAATAAAGTGATCAGAAGACAATGACGAGATTATGAAATGATACCTTTAAATTTAAAGGTCATGTATTAACAATAAAACATTTCAGTGACGCATAAGCGAAATTTTTTATAAGTAAAAAATGTTGTTTTGAAAGATATGTTATTTCTGTAGAAGTTTATTAGCCGCCATAAGGATGTTCATTACTATTAATTTTTTCTGCAAAAATATCCTTCATACTATCGCATACAATAATTCAATTGCACTAAATATGGAGCTCGTGGTGGCCATTGAACAGGAGCATTTGAACGTTGCAAAATTCAGCGGTTTGAATTATTTACATACGCATAATTCTACCAAAATTAGGTGGATCACCATCTATCTGAATCCACATAATGTTACGGGCGGCAAATTGGTGATAAAGTCAAAGTGATCCTATTCGGTTACCACCAGATCTCCAGATTTATTTTTCTGCGGTAGTACCAAGGATGTTGTTTATACCGAAGAAATTAATAATATTGAATATTTAAATGGAATTTCAGTTGTTGTGTTGATAATTAGTTTGACTATGTATACCTTTAAGGTTATTAATAATATTTTTTCAATATTTGTTATAATATTTTTTACGTTCTCCATAAATTTCATGGACATGATAAAGATGCTAGTTGCTGTCAAGCATAATCTTAAAAGTTGTACTCGTATTTATATCGAAAATTATACAATAAATTAAATAATAGGCCCAGTACTTTGAGTATTGATTAGGACTTAGTTAACTAATCAAGCGATTAGACTGTGAATATGCTATTATAAAATAAATCAATATATGTACAATCTTATCATGTGATTACTTAACCAAGGCTTAACGGAGACTCAAAGTACTGGGCCTAAGAGAGATAAAATAATCACAAAGAAATTGTGTAGTTAAAGATTTGACTAAATTTCAGTAGGCGTACCTACAAAATGTTTGGGGGAATAATTGGTCAAGGCAATCCCGTTTTTCATTTGTTTTTGGAAGTGTACAAATATTTTAAAAGAAACATTTTTGCATGTAGGTAATTTGATCTTAGGAGTTTGTGGTTAGCGGATGGCCTTCTTTTCTAGGAAAGAGTTTTTTTTAAACAATAGTTAAACAATAAACAATACAGGTAACCCTCAATGACTCATTTCGATATTTTGTGTTTGCAATATAGCACCAGAAATGCTATAACGCTGCACATAAAGTTAATGCATATAAAGTTTATACCAAAATTTAAACTGGATATGGCGGATTGGTGGATATGGCCTGTTGGCATAAACATTGTACTTCAAAAAACCCCAAAGAAGAAAGTCCAACAGCGTTAAATCGGATGATCTGTGCGACCAATTATTCTTATCACCGAGATGGGAAATTACACGACTTACACAGTAATTGTTTTTCTGTTTGTACGACATGTGACATTGTCTTGTTGAAACCACATCTCGTCTACATCTATATCTTGCAATTTAGGCACAAATAATGAATTATCATGTCACGAAGCAAGCACCACCAACTGTTATTGCTTGACCAACTGCATTTCGAAGAAGAATGGTCTGATGATGCCTCCAGTCCAAAATCCACAACAGATACACTTTGTGGATACATTTCTTTCTCAACTATCACTCGTGAATTTTCTGAACTCCAAATGTGACAATTTGATAGATTAATTTTTTCCAAAAAATCAACATATACTTGTTGTTCCATAATCCATTCAACGAACTCTCTTCGTTCTGCTTAGTCAGTAGGCTTCAGTTCTTGAGTCAACTGAACTGTGTAAGTATGGAGATGCAAATCTTTCGTGAGAATAAGCTATAGAGAGCTTCTCAAAATGTTCATTTGCTGAATTAATGTTCTTGGACTCTCAGCAACACTCTCACGAACTGCTTCAATGTTTTTCGTTGAGCGACTAATTGATCCAGTCTTTTTTCAATAAATCTCTTTACAGTTGAAGTTAAATCACTATTCTGACCATATTTTGTACGAAAATAGCGAACTGTAGCTGACAAACCTTCATTAGTTTTAAAATGTTGCTCAACAATGAAAGCGCGTTGTTATTTCATATAGCGCTCCATTTTTAATAATCCTGAACTGTCAGCTGTCACGTTGTCTTTTTTTTCTCTGGCAGCACTTTACCACACAAATGGCGCAAAATTCAAATCGTGCGTAAATTTTGGGACACCCAATACTTACAGAAAATGAAAGATGATGATCAAATAAAAGAACATCAAACGCTCGAGTAAAACGAATTTTGCTGGACTTTTTGATATAAAAATTTCCTTTGTCATTCAAAAAAAAAAAAAAAACTTAATAAGACTTGTAAATAGTTTATATCTTAATGACTATTATTAAAAAGGCTATTCATTAAAGTACTTTATACCTAAAATACGAATTACTTTGATATCTCTACGAGTTAGCTTTTAAAATAGTTTCAAGAACGAAACAATTAAGTGATGCTGAATAAAAATAGCAGAAAAATTCTTTTGTAGGAGCAATTTTTATATTTAAAGTGTTTATAGATTTATTTCAGACACACACTATATAAATATGATTGTGGTTGTGCCAACAAATACAATAAGCTATTACACAACAGTAAAATTTTTATATTACTATACTGTACATTGTATTAATAACTGATTAGCCCACTGCTGTTAATAATCATTATACAGCACAAAAAAAAATCATGTTCGGTAGACTGGAACCTCCTACTCATATACGAATTTGACATCGGAATTGCGCCATCAGGTCAGTATATTTTTCTAAGCCCAAAAAAAATAGGTAAAGTTAGGAAGTGGTCATTATGATATTGATCAATTCTGATATCAAATTTGTACTCAGCTCTTTAAAAAAATTACTAGAGAAATTCCATCTCCCGATTTCCAAACAATTTAAACATATCGAATGC